TGTATTAATCCGGTATTAATTAAATAAAGTATTACAATTGGCATTATAAAAAAAAAAAAAAAAAAAAAAAAAAAAAACATTATATTTTGCATAGATGCCCTGAGCTCCTATTCAAGATGGTATAACAAAGGTTACAGATACACTAATCCAACCAATTAACAGAGACAGTTACCATAACACAGATCTTATTTTTCAAAATTCGGCATCTATGGGATTTGAACTCTAGATCTGCTACTTGGAGGTTGACAATCTGACCACTTTACTAAGTTGTCACACCCTTGTTACTATTTATATCTAAGTACTACCTTATTAGATATTACTAAGTATCTATATTCTTTCAAATTTACTCTTAATGCAAGCTTACTAAGCTAGTACCAAAATTACTACTTAGATTTAATTTAGTATATCTTATATCTACTAAACTGGTTTTAATGTTAGAAGTGTTCAAATTTCAATAAGTTCATTTCTTTTTCATAGTTTCTTTTTATATTCATTGTATTACTTGCTAGTGCATCTTCTTTTCATTTCTGGTATATTTACTGCATTTCTCATATTGAACATCAACTCTTCATATCAGGAAACTTTTTTCTAGAAACTTCCTTGTATATTGATCTTTTATTTACATAAACTTAGTTACAGGACTTCATATATATTCATATGCTTCTGTAAATTACAAAGTTTTGCCTTCAGCTAGAATTAAACTATTGACTTTGTTTGTGAAGAAAAAGGCATCTAGACCACTAGGCTATAAGACTCTATTCTTAGTAAATTGATTATTATTCTAAAATTTTATATAAATTAATAAAGTACTATTATAACTATTTAAAAGAAAAAAAATAATACTATTGTTTTTATATAAATTGCTAATTAATCTTTTTTAACCTATTATTATTATTTTTTCTAAGACTGCTAATTATTAGTAATTACTGCCTTTATTATGGTTTAATTAAAATTATATAACTTGTACAAGATAAGTATACAACTAGCTATATATATAGCTTTTGGCTATTTATTTAAGTAGTCTGCTTGCAGATTTTATACTAGCTGCTATACTTGTAATCTGCTAAGAAATTATCTAATTAAACACTCTAATCTCTATATTATATTTAACAGATAATATACAAGTTCTCATATATCTAAGTGCTGTTTAATCTAATTATAGCCTTCTTTTCTATATGTTTACTAAGCTATTATATATTTTAAAGTATGCCATTTAACTGTAAGACTTTAAGGATTCTTCTGTTAACTAATCTATTTACTTTTTATAAAACATTAACAAAGCTTGCTCTTGTAATGTTTATTCAAATCTCAGTATTAACTTTATAATATATCTCTAGTACTTATAGTATATTTTTGCTTTGTTATTAAACTTTTAATCTAAATAGTTTAGTAAAACTGTAATCTGTATTTAACATATTAAGATTCTGATATTTAATATCTTTTTTTTAGTTTGAAACTTCTAATAATCTGATCAGTAATACTTTTTATCTGAGATTCTTACTTATTTAATTTTTTTACATTAGTATTTATTTTTTAGATCTAGTCTTTATAGTAATATTATTAAAGATTCATATTATTTTTCTACTTAGATAAGTAAACTTCAGTTTTTCTTAGTTTTATAGATTTATATAGCTATAAAAACTTATTTTGAGTTTGTACTATTTGGTACCAATTTGTATTTTTTTGTATAATTAAGATTACACAAATACTTCTTGACTTGTTAGTCATGTTAATATAACTGTAGTTATAGATATCTTATTCCAACTGATCAACAGAATGTTATTGTTATAATATAAATATATTTTTTCAAATTTTATCTCCAGTAGGTTTTGAACTTACAACCTGCCACTTGAAAGATTGACAACTTATTCACTTCACTAAGTTATCACTTCTTTTTTAACTTATTATCAAAACTTTATAATATATAAAAAATATTAAATTTAAATTTTATATTTAAAATATTTATTTTTTATTTTATTTATTATTTTTTTTTTTAAATAAAAAATCTTTTACTTAGCATTTAAACTATTAATAAATTGTTAAATACTTAATAGTTTTAGTAAATTTTATTACAATACATTGATATTTTTTATATAAATTTTATTGTACTACTAAATTATATAACAAATAATCTATTTTTTTCTATTTATAAAAAATTTTTAATAATTCTAATCAGAATTATATATAATAAACTTAACCAATAGTATAAAAATTTTACTAAAATTATAATAATCAAAATTTTAATTTTATTAGTAAAAATAAGTAACTTTAAAAATTTTTTACAATATCAAAATTTAATTTTTTACAAAAAAAAATTGTTTCAACTATATATACTAGTTATTTTTTTTGTAACGCAGTTTAAAAATTAGCTATTTATATTAATTTAAGATGTTTCACACTGTATTTTATTATTATAAACCAGTTTAACCTGGTTTGAATTTACAAACCAAAACTTAAACTGGTTTAGAAAACCAGTTCGATTTTGAAGTTCACCAGTTGTTCATTTTTGTGCTTACGAATTTTGTTTTCAGACTATAACAATTTGGGTTAAGATTAAAGTCAGAACCCAATCTTGTGAGGAGTTATGACAGATCACTTTGATGGGTAAATACACTAAATACATTTTAATTATGTAATTCTTTTATCGTTATTAGTTGTATAAAAAAGATGTGGATAACAAAGAACTTATCGTTATAATAAGAACATTATAGTTATATATTTAGTATATTATTCATTATTGGAGGCCGTTAAAAATTATTAAAAGTGGCCGCCAAATTAGCCGCAATTTTCTTTGTTTCTGCAAACCAATTTATGTACGACCGCATTTAGTCTTGTGGACTTGCTGTCTTTTTAAGATAGTAATCACAAACATATGACCGCGTGGGATTAGAAATCATGTTTAGTTTTTTTTTTGGTCATTCTGATATTTCTTTGTTGAGCAATGAATGAATGTACTTACGTACGTACATCAGTTATTTACTATGATCACACTGGTAAAAAAAAACAAAAATCTATGATTCTTAAATACATACTTCAGCGAGAGAGTATATTCGTAAGACTCGATTTTTATTTTAGAAAAATTTTTTGAGCTTGTGATCATATAAAAATGCAAAGATATACTACAGCCATTAAGAATATTATTTAAAATGGATAATTCAGTAGCTCGTGCTTAGCACGGGGGTAATATATAACAAATATGCTTGCAAATCCATGATCTAGCCATTAAACTATATAATTAATATGACAATAAACGATCTACCGATAAAAGATAATTAATTATGATAAATATTATTGGCCGGATCATTATCACATGTTCAAAAATTTTTTTCTCGACAGTTTCGTGATCTTGCCAATTTATATACCCAATACAAAATATACATTATATTTAAAGCTTAGTGTCAATACAATAATGGGGATTATATATGAAATTGCCCTTCAAACATTTTTTATTAGTGCCCCAAGCCGGGTGTAGGCATTTCTTTTCTCGTACTTTTCGTTTCGGATTTGCTTGTTAGAGCGGCATTCATATCATGTGACTTTGAATTTTTAACGACTTTTTTGTGAGTAGAAGGAATTTTTAACTTGTAAACTTATCTTTATGAATTATGGTTTTCGGAATTATTTACTACGCATTGGTTCTTCTTTTCGCGGGCCTTACTTATGCTAGTGTTGAGGGTAAACTACCCAAGGTCCCTCAACTTCAACGTTTTACAATTATTGGCTTTTCTTTGATTTCTGAATGGCCACTACCTGTCATATTTATTAAAATTGTTCTGATTATTATCGCTTCTGCCGTTGGAGTTTTCAGTGAGTCTAGTTCGCAAAAGAAAATATCTCTTATTTGGCTCTTGATAATAAACTTCATTTTGAAATTCTGATAGGAGGCATTATTCCTCAAATATTTTATATTATTGATCTCCTAACTATGGTTGGGTATATAAAGAACCCAATTTTTTTTTTAAAATGTTTATTTAATTAAATTTTATTAAGTTGATGATTAATACTTATTTTTACATAAAGACTCGTAGTGATTTTTATTGACGCTTATGAAGCCAGGCGAAATATCGAAATTGCCATTCAATCTTATTCTGATTACCAAGAATTACAAGAATTACCAACATTTACTAGGTATTCATTCATTCATCTTTTATAATTTTATATATTTTAAACCTTTACATTCTTTATCAAATAGTTCCAAAAAAAATTTTTTTTTTTTCATGAAAATACAGTGAGACTTTTTGGCAACGTATGGTCAACCCACGTTTCATTCCTGAAAATGTCACTCATTATGCTGATAGTGAGTAATTTAGACCTTTTTTTTTTTTTCCTCTTTTGTGAATAAATTATATTTACTCTTAAAAATTTGTGATACTTTTTTTAGTCAATTATGTTAATAATCAAGAGTCATTAGAAGCTAAAAAAGATGGATTTGAACAAATGAATTTTTTGACATTGGATGTGTATGCCCGAAAATCTAACACTTTGAAACCAGTTTTGGTAACGTATACATTATTAAAAAGTACCGATAAACTTTAGAAATTTAAAAAATTGGTTTTATTAAAAAAATGGCTTATTTAATTTCAGTTGTTTATTCCTGGTGGTGGATGGATAGGAAAGGGTGCTGTATATCCATTAATTCGTCATTTGGCTGAACGTGGATGGGTAATTGTGATTATAACTTGCAATATTTTTTCAGACAATTCGATATTAAAAAAAAAAAAAAAAATACTTTTTTTTTTTTATATATTAGGTTGTAGTTTCTGCAAAATCTAGACCTAAATATCCCACTCGATTGTTGGATGCGAAACGAGCTTTACGATGGGTAAAAACAAATATCAAATTTTTTGGTGGTGACCCAGATTTTGTTGCGGTTGGTGGTATGTTACACTTATTAAACTCATATACTATACAGTATTAAAATATCTAATATAACGGCACTTTTTCGTTCTTCTAAGGTGATGGCGTTGTAGGACAAACTGCTGCCGCAGGTAGAAAACTCGATTTACTAATTTTACCTGTTAATTTTTATTACTTTATTTTTATTAACCAAATTATTATTATTATTATTATGATTATTTACTCAGTTGCATTAACACCAAATGTGCCCGAATTCCAACCAGGGTTTGAAGATGTGGACACTTCTGTCAAAGCATGCCTACTGATAAATGCTGTTACAGATCTTTCTGAAAAGCATTCCGGTTCACCAAGTACAGATGAATCATTTTTAAAAAAACACTCGCCAATACACCTTCTTCGAGAGGATGTTGTCCCATTTTTAGTGTTTCACGGTGATCGTGATGATTTTATACCTATCGAATCGTCTAATCGTTTTGTTGAAGAATACAAGAAAAGTAATTGTTTATGAATTTTTATTCTTATTGTTTCTACGTGATAAATTGATTTTTTTTTTTTTTTTTTTTTTATAGAATCTAAGTCTGAAATTCAGTTTATTATAATCTCGGTATTGTAATTTTATTTAAATTTTGCTTATTCTCCAAAAATTACCTAATCTTTTTTTTTTTTTTTTTTTTACAATGACATCAGGGTGGACATCACATATATCACCATTTTTCCTCTCCTCGGTCACATTATCAAGCAATTGGTGCTGAAATATGGTTGAACCACATTTATCATAAAGAAAAAAAACATGATTAAAATTCATGTTGGGCACTGTACTACAATTTTTCGGTGTAAAAGTTTGAATCATAGTCGTAATATAATTAAATATCAAAAATGCTTGACATTATGGCAAATTAAGGACATTTTACGAAATTTGAATAAATCCTAGACTAGTAAGTTTGGGTCTCAAACTCTAGAGTAAATTAACTCGATTCTCTGGATTCAAATGATATCAATTTTTTTTGTTTTACAACGAACTGGCAGTTCTTATAGTAAAAAATAAAATTCAAAGTTCCTCATTATGTAATTTACTGTTTTTTATTCCGAACTCTATCCCTTAAACTGTTTTCCAGGCAAATCTGCCTGGAAATTTCATGATTGATCTGTGATTAAGTTATCAAATTATATTTAATTGTAGTCTAAACCGTAGTAGATACAGATACGTAGTTAAATTGACAGTTTAAGGGATAATAATTTTTTTTTAAAAAAAGTTTGTTATAAAGTATGTTTATTATATTCGGAATCGATTGTATACGTATATCTTTTCTTCTCACATATTTACATACTTTTTAACATGCTCACTGTAATATAGTATTATGAACCAATCAGCACATATTTTTAAAATTATCAGGTACATGGTGTATAATAATCACATGCCTGAATCTACATTTTTGTTATTAATTACAGCTCAAAGGAAAATTAGTAAATGTTAGTAAACTTTAGTGTAAATTTGATGGACTATTTTCTGACATTCAGTTTGATCCAGGTTTAAAAACTGGACAGGTTTTTATTTCATCTCATCTCGATATACGAATTTAAAAGTTTTCTTCCGAATTTTCTTAGAATTAGGCTTACTATAGTGGTTATAGATCTAAGTAATTTCATAATTTGGTTTTTTTATCGTTACTATATAGTGACTTGAACTGATTAGACCATAAACAAGTAACTAATTGATAACTTCTTAGCTGTAAACTATAGTCACTAAAAAGCTAATGCACTTCAGCATCAAGAGCTTCAGCGACAATTTTTGGGTCGTTCTTTAGATTTAATAAAATTGGAGACCATTTTTATTGTCAAATCACGTGTAATTCATTTATTAATTAAAAAATTAGATATCTAATATAATTAATAATGATAGTGAACTATATAATAAGGGAACGATTTTTATTAAGGGTATTTTACTTTAAGAATTATTAAGCACTTCTATTCAAATTTCGAAGGAAAATTGATCGAAAGATCTATTTTGGAACCATTTTCATAATTATTTTTGCACTTGCTGTGCACATCTTCGATATAACCATTAGATCTATTGCAATATATCACTTTATTCAATAGATCCTGCCAAGTTACTAAATCCTTCTTAAATTCCAATTTGAAAATAAAAATAACGAAGTTTAATAATTTATAGCATTGATTTAACAAGCTTGATTAGGGTTTGAATTTACACTATTGACTAAGAATGAACATAATATTAATATTTTGGTTATTATCCTAAATGAAGTAGAAATCCAGATTTCGAAACCCAAACTATATAGTAATGTCATAATTCAAAAAAAAAGGTTTAGGTTGTAACCCTAATTTACTCCATTTCAGTACCAAAAGTGTTTTCTCCAGAATATCTATTACATAAAATAAAAATAAAAAAATAAAAAAAAATCATTAAAAAGAAATAATAAGAAAAAAACAAGTCCAAATGATCAAGTACTCACGTTATATATAAGAAACCATCCTCATCTTTACGTTCATCATAAATACTTGACATAAGTGCAGCGGTAGGTGGTAAAACTTCATCAACAAAGATAAAAATAGCCTTTTCAGGGCTCAGTTTGATCCGCTTTCGAATTACATAAACAAACTGACCGACCGTGAGATCAGCTGGAACAAGGTATTTCTTTTTATCAATTGTTGCAATGTCTGATTTTTCAACTTTCTCACAAATAACCTATATTTAATTATAAAAACCATAAATTAGCTAAATGAAACACCTAATAAAACCTATAATAAGGCAAACTAAATCTTGTTATTTGCTGCGCCTTTAATGATTAACGTACTGGAATCCTGTCTGGGTATTTTTGTCTAATCCTTTCAGCTTCAGCCTTGCGTTTTTCTATATACATATGAAAAGACAAATCATAAGCGAGTACATTCATTGGTAACTGGAATGCTAGATTGAAAATGAAAAAAAAAAGATGAAACTTGCCAAAGGGATGCTCGTCCTTAAATTTTGACCTCATTTTTACGTGTTTTTATTCAATAATACTTTAAAAAAAAAATGAAATGCAAAGATATAAAAGATAAGACTTTAGGACAGATTATTTCAGTTAAAATAAGCGCACAAAAATGGGAGAAAAGAATTAAGAGGGATATTATATATGAAACTTTCGGAGTTTTTATTACAAATTGACGTAATCAGTTTGGACTGCGGCCTCGTGATTTACTTTCTATAAATTACTTTCCGGCAAATCAGTACGCATACGTAATCCCTTCTGTGATATTCTATACGTAGTATATATATATTTATATATATAGTTACAAAATTATGATGGATATTCAACACATGATTTATAATCTAAGTCACACTGCAATATAATTTACTATTACTATACACACGTATGTATTTACGTACGTACATACGTACGGTGTGTACGTTAATATATTATGTCAAAATTAAATACAACATAATAATACAAAATTAAATTATGTATTATTTTATTTTGTGGTAATTAAAGGATCTAGAGCAATACATGAAAAAGGGTAATAAACTGCGGAATTTGACAAAAGTTAGAATTTTTACATCTCGTGTCCAATCATGTGGATTAGGAGGTTTGTGAATTAAAAATATTAATTTGTACTAACTAAAGTACCCAGTAGTACCCAGTGTGACAAATAACGTAGATCAATTTCTCCAAAATGCTATTTATATATGTGTGTGATACGTTGTGCATGTGATTTTTAAAATTTCACTATATAAATCGTATCAAATCAGAAACTTTAGCCAGCGCACTACGGGTAATTGATGTTTCATGTCTAACACCAACCTTAACAATTCGAAAACTTTATCGTTATCTATGACTCTTGCTAAATAAGATCTTTACGATAGATAGGGAATATAATCAACTTTTTGAATGCTCATTAGATATAGTGATCAGCAGATTATTATATTGAATGTATTTTTAATTTTTAATAATCCAACGATCAATACTTTATACTCTTAAAAAGTCAAGGTTCGATCGAACAATCGGGTTCTCCACAATGTGAACTATTTGAAGTTAAATCGTAAAAGAAATGCATTGGTCGAACAATAATTCTCTTCTTTTCAAATTATATGTTAAGTGTATAATGTAGAAAATGTTAAACAAAGTTGCATAGCACATCAAAGGTTTTTTAAAGAATGTTTGTAGAAATGGCCCATAGTTTTTACCTGTGAACAAGTAAGAATGAATTAATTATTTTTCTTGCAGTTTGCAAAATTTTTGTAAATTTTTTATACGTAGATCAAAGAAGAAATCACTTACTTGATTGTTAAGTGATTTCTGATTTCTTAAAACTACTCCGATATCTGAATATGAAATTATCATATCGGAGTAGTTTTAAGAAATCAGGAATCACCTACCAATTGAATGATTTCTTCGTTATAACATAATTATATGTTTAGTGGACCTCTTGCTATGTTAGGCTATATAAAGTTATTATTATGATACATAATTCTATAGCAAAGGTTAATTATAATGGACAGATTATTCAGCCCAATGAATTCATTAATGTGTACAACTTTAATAGCTAATAATCGAATCAATATATTGTCAAATTGTGGATAGTGTAGACCCAAATTATTAGATATCAAAATGATAAATTACAGTGTATTTCATTTAAGCATGGACAGATTTATGAAGCATGGATTTAAAAGGTCGAGGATCAGATTTTAAATCATTAATAAATCGTGGTGCACTTAGCATGCAGCAAATTTAAATAAATCACTAGAAATTGTGGAGTAGTCATTCAAATATGAGATGATAATGCATTAACAAATAGAGAAGTTCTTGCAAATTTAAATGAATCATTAGATATTAATCCAAATTGGCATGGCAGGTATTTCTCATTCTTAAAGTTGATTTATTCAAATAATGAAGTTGTAATACACTGCGAAATAAATGACCAGATTTTAACTTTGTTTGGATCTTAATACTTCGTATGATACATTACCCGAAATTCTTTTGACGATAATCTTGTAAATGGGTGGAGTAATTTGAAGGGGTTCATCATCTAATCAGAGGTTGATTTCGTTAACTAAATTGTGAAGATGCTTACATAAATGTCTTGGTCGCTAGAAATTTGTATAATTTTTTAGGTGCGTCAGCTGCGACAATTGTTGAATGATATCTTGTGGTCCTTAATTAGGTGATAGCGTAAAAACTACTGCGGTACGTCCGAAAGGATTTCGGCCTTGATTTCTAATAATACCGAAATACTTTTGGCAAATCCGCAATAGTTTCTACGCCATGTATAGTCAAACTACTCTAACAAAGTATAAAAATCGTAAATTATTTTTTTAAATAAATTCTTCGGTCGTTTTTCTATATAATTTTATTAGCCAATCAGATCTTACAAATTTGCAAACTAATCTGTTTTGACACAATTAGATATCAACTTATAAAATCTAACCATATATCACTCATTTTTACTACTTTCGCTTTCTCATTAAAAAAAAAGATGGATATTACGCAAGTCTCGAAAGTTGCAACAGACTTTACCAACTTTTATTATTCCACGTTTAGCGCTGACCGAGGTCAACTCTTACCACTTTATGTAAGTAACGTATCTTAGCAAAACTATTTTGGTAGAAGACTTTTAATAAAGAATTGGAACACACTACATTAGAGTACTCTGTCTAACAACAAGGACATTCTAAAATGTTTAATGTCGAATAAAGCATTCCATTTCTTTGATAATTCTATTCGCTTTCTCCGAGAACGCGTGGATCCTACACTAACATGCATGTTCTTAAGAAGCAATCAATATTTTCGGATAATTAATCTTTTTATGGTTTTCATTAGAGAGATCAATCAATGTTAACATTCGAAGGACAATCATTTCAAGGTGCGAAGAACATTATTGAAAAATTGACGGTAATAAATTTCTATTCATATATTCATGATAATTCTTTCAAATTATTGTTTTAATTAATTCCATTTTATGAATCGATCAGTCCCTACCTTTTCAGCGAGTTCAGCACCATATTGCCACCATAGACGCACAACCAAATTTCCAGGGTATTTTTGTTTGTGTTACTGGCGAACTACGGGTAACGTTTATAATTTTTCCATCATTTTTAACTAAAAATCTCTCAAGATTTATAAAAATATTTGAATTTACGTTAGGTTGATGAAGATAATCCGCAAAGATTCGCACAAGCCTTTCAGCTTATTCCTGAAGGCACATCCTACTATGTTCTTAATGACATCTTTCGTCTGAACTACGGTTGAATAAAAAAAAATCAACTTTATTTATACACTTTATATAATAAATTTGCTATACCTCACCCGAACCTGTATACAGTTTATATAGCCCATCATATATATAGTATATTTTATACAGTGATATTTGGATTAGAATCTATTCATAAGATCTCATAACGATTAATGCCACGAATTGTATGGACTTAATAAAAAGTTGACTAGTTACGTCTAACAACGCTTCTAACTTATGGCAAATTTCAAGATGCTTTAATGTCATAAAATTAAGATCTTGATAAAGCCACATTAAAGGATCTGTATTACAGTTAAATTTTTCAAATAACGTTACTGAAAGTACTTCAAAGTAGTGTAAAAAACTGTTTCTCTCATTTCTAATTAAACTACTTTATGTTTGCGATGTTGTGGCTTTCACGTTCACTAGGAAAATTAAAATTACTGTAGATCAAGTTCTTTAAAATAATGCAAATTAGACAGTAACTAGGATTCAAATAATAATAATAATAATAATAAATTTTCTTATATTTTACATTAATCGTTATTAAATGAATCAAAGCTTTTAATTAAGTATATGTTGGAAATAATATCAATAAAAACAGAAGGTTTGTTATTGTATTTAATATATACTTATAGTTTAACTTTTAATTTATATATTTGAAATAGTGACATAATTAGAAATTAAGCATTTGTACAATTATTTTGTAGCAAATTTAAAAAAAATTAAAAATATTTTATTAATATTATATTTTAAAAGTAAAAAACAAAAACCTAATAAAACAGTAAATTTTTATAATATTTTTTTAAATAAACTATAGTAAAAAATTAAGTATAATAATTATTATTTTAAAGTTAATAGAATTAAAAAATTTATTAATAGTTTTCAACAAAAATTTTAAATTTCAATTTAAGCAAACAATTTAGAATTATTAAAATAAATTATTAGTTTTTTTTTTTTTTTAAATGTTAAGGTGAGTACATGCGACCCAGGATTTTACTGATAGTATAAGTTGGCCAGCATCTGTATATGTACAGACGCAGAGGCAATTACAGAAAGAGTGTACAACTAGCCACTTGTACAACTTTAGTCATTGTCTAATTTAAGTAGTCCGCCCGAAGGTTCTACACTAGTTGCTATACCTAGAACCTACCTGTAGATCCTCTATTTAAACACTTTGATCCTGCATTCATCACACCCTACTAGTGACTCTGGTAAACAGTGAAGATATGCCATGGTCACTAAGTCATGTTTAACTTTGTATTAAACCTACCAGTGCATTCTGTATTCTATACTTACAGCTTATCTGGTTATGTTTTGGCCTAAACCATCACTTGCAGTTAGGGTTAACCATCAAACCACTTTTACCTTTGTAAGGTTCACCCAAAACCCCAGTACCTATCTTTTCGATATCTTCTTTATTATCCTCTACTAACCATTATTCAGAACTGACAGGACTTTCTGGATTTTCAATTCAGATGGCCTAGTATAATATACCTTAGTATTCTTTTCTTCTAGCGATTTTGGTAGCCTGGTTGGTCATGTGCTCCTCTATACATCTTGCTATCTGGTTTATCTGCCTATTCTTTTAGGAGTGTTTCATGGGTTTTCATTAGTTCGACAGTATTGTCTAAGGTTTTGTGCTACCTACTTACTTAGGATTTCCAAGTAGGTTTTTGATTCTTTGGTTCTTTTGCTTTCTGTACCTAGTAGTTTTATCGTAGGTTTGCACCGAAGTCTTATGCAACACTGGTTATTAACATTCCTTTATGTGGGTGTAATGTTACACTTAGCATATATGCCCTGAGCTCCCATTCGAGATGGTGCAACAAAGGTTACAGATACATTAATCCAACTGATCAACAAAGACAGTTATTGTAATACAGATCTATTTTCTAAAATTCATCATCCATGGGATTTGAACTCTAGACCTGCCACTTGGAGGTTAACAATCTGACTACTTTACTAGGTCATCACACCCCAAAAATAAATTATTAGTTATAGAACATGTTTCTAATAGTTACTATTATTTGTAAATTAAATAAATTAATATATACTATATGAAAAACTAAGAAAATGATAGTTAGACTTAATGTACAGAGCAGACTATAAAACTTATTACAGCTGTGAAAGCTAAGCTTCAAATAGTGAGCATCCTAGTAGAAGACAATTTATTAGAATTAACTACAACATCTTTAAAACCTTTTAATTTAAATATATACTATAACTTATTCTTATACTAGAAAATATAAGTCATTATAAGTCTAGAGTGAAATCATATGAGACTTGTTGTATATGCAAGTGGTAACAAACAGAAAATTTAAAGTTATATTTTTAATATTTTTATTATTAATGCATCAATAATAATACTTTTGATATATTAAAAACATAACTTTAGTATTACTTTGCATAGAAATTGAGTATCCTCTATTACATTCTGAACAATAAAAATAACTTATCATCTCTTTATTTTTATTTTTTTTTTTAGTATTAAGGTGACCTCTTTGGTCTTTTGACTTTTATTAATCACTTATCAGTATTGTGGTTCAATGAACCACTACAGAAGAGAGTACAATTGGTTATATATGTAACTTTTCTATATTACTTATTTAAGGAATCTGTCTAAAGGTTCCCTACTAATTGTTATATCTAACACTTCTGCTTGAATGTTTCACTTTAAACCCTCTGAATCTGTAATCTGTGTTAACTCACTGGGTCATATCCAGATGCCCAGATCATTGTCTCAACCTTAGGACTAATTTATCCTCAAGATAAACCCTTTAGAGCCTTTTGTATCTATTTTTACAGCTAATCTAGATATCACTATGACAGAACCAATACTTGTAGTCAGAACTGATCATTAAACTGTTATGCCTTTATAGAGTTCATTTAGACTCCAGCATCTATTTCACAGAATAATCCTAGTACTTTAGTATACCTCTATCTTTTCATCTGTCTTTTTTATCAAACTCCTAATTCAGATAGCCTGTATAGGATTATGACCAGTTCATTGATATATCAGGTTAGTCCAATATTCTTTTCCTCTAGTTCATTCTAGTGGTCTGGTTGGTAGTACTTTTGAGACTCCCAACCCAGAAATTCTTGCCCATCTGGCTACTATGACTAGGTACTATGACCTTGATATCTGTTTCCTCAGACTAGTTTTTACAGTAGGGCTATTGAAGATTCAGCTATCTCTCTACTCAGATCTTTCTAAATAGACTTCTTGTTACCCAATTTCAACAAATTTACACAATCACAAGAACTTATCTAGTGTTTGTATTATCTGATTTGTCAATTTGCATTCCTTTATATAATGTCATACTTATACAGATGCCTTATGACTTGCCAGTTATGCTGGTATGACTGCTATTACAGGTATCCTAACCCAATTATTAGTAACAGTTGCTGTAATATGAATATTATATAAGTGATTATCCAAATTTTCATTGTCAATGGGATTTGAACACCCAATCTACTACTTGGGAGGTTGACAACCTGACCACTTTACTAGGTCGCTACACTCTATAATGATATTTGTTAATTTTTAGTTAATATGTAAGTTATTGCATAATGAAATGCCAAAAATTAATAAAAATATAAAGATACAATATTGGTTTATTATTTGTGTACAAGCATTATTAATAAAATATACATAAAATTTCTTAATTTCTAATATATTTTGGACATTCATATAGTTCAGAATAATGATATAACATATGATAGTTATAAAACTAATTAATTATTAGATTAAAATTTATAAAAAAGATAGCTTTTTGCTTTTTTAAAAAAAAGTAAAAAATATAATTTTTTTAAGTTTTTTTTATATATAAAAGTTTTTTGTATCTTAATTATTTTTTAATAAAATATTATTTTATTTATTTTATCTTATTATTATTAATAAAAACTATTTTTTATTTTATTTTTTATATTATTATTTTTTATGTTTTATCTTTATTTATTTTATTTTTTTTCTTTTCTTGTAATAATATAAAATAAAATGCTAGTTTTCTTAATTAGTTATTTGGCAAATACTAGCTTTATATTATTGGAATTTAAAGACCAGATATAGCTGTTTAATGGTCTGATTATTAAGACTTTTTTTTCTTTAATTATACTTTACAGACATTTTTAAGTTTAAAAGTCTAATAATTCTTATATAGAATAAACATTTTGTTATACCTAATTTATATATACTGGATGATAAAATTTAGTTTAAAAGCTAATTTTATTGTTGTATCTTATAGTGTCTAAGAGGCTATTTAATTTAAATTTTAGTTTTACAATATTTATTTCTTATTTTTGTTTATTTTATTTTTCTTTAAATAAAAATTCTTCTATTTAGCACTTATGTTATTTAAAGTTTACTACAGTTTGCTAAATTTTATTACATTACTACTTTTGTAATAACTTTTCTAAAAGTCTTAATTAATGCTATTGGTCTAATGTTATTTAGCCTATATTTTCAGTTTTCATTTTTAGAAATTAAATATACTTGTGTTATTTTTCATTTTTTTGGTATTATTTTTTTTTTTAAAATCAAATTTGCAAAGGTTTTAAAGATTTTTTGTAACTTTTTTTTTACTTGCTTTATTAGTATATAGCTTATGTTTAATATTTATAAAGCTGTATCTAATTTAAGTTCTCTTAGTATGTCTTCTTATTCTTTTTTCTTTATTTTTTTTTCTAGGTTTCTTTGCTAATTTACTTTTTTGACTTATATACTTCTTTCTATTTTTTTGATATTTCTTTAAGCTTGGTCTTTCTTTTTCTAAATTGGGTTTCAAAATGTTTTGCCAAACTACTTAAAACTGCATTTAACTCTGCTATTAGATTAATTTTTTTTTGTTCTGTATTATAAATTTGTTAAAAATTATCTTTTTGTAAAGTCTGTTTAGTAGACTTGTAATTATTTATTCTTGATTAGTTTTAATTATTTTACATCTTTTGTTTATATTCTTTTTTATTTGTTTTCTCTAGACTTGTTTTCATTCTTTTCTATTTTCTTTAATTATTT